GGGATGCTCTCCCCACCCTAATCAGACCACAGCAAACCCCATTCAGCTTCCACCTACCCCTGTGAGTTCTACTTCTGTTCTGACTAAGCACTATGGAATGCCTTCTAGGGCAAGACTCCTGGAAGGAATTGCTTTTCCATGGGCCATCTTCACTTGAGAGTATAGTAGTTCGTGGGCACAAAGGGCATTTTGCTAACCACTGTCATTTGCTGCTTCCGCCGAACCTCCACGAGCAGCTGTGTCCCTGGCCGACTGTACTTGAATGGCACATAACCCATTGCCACATTCTTCTTCAGGCTGGGTGAAGGGCAGCCACTGGTCACTGTGCCTGTCCAGGCATAAGCCATAGGTTAACACCACCCTGCCAGCCCAATATCCCTACCTTGGATACCCTGCCAGCCAATGTCCCCTCCTGGACCACTTACCAATCACAGTGCCTTCTGTGCTCAGGATAGGACTGTGAGCTCTCATTGGGGCCCCTTCACAGATCAACCCCACACGTCTCTTCTGCACCTCGCCCTTCAGCTGGGGCACAATGATTTTGGCTCCTGGGAAGTCCATAGCAGTTCGGCGCCGCTTCCCTGGAAAGGAACACACCAAATGCAAGCTGCACATAAGCCCTGGACACAGGAAGTCTTTACTATGAAGGCCCCAAGTGACATCCATTTAGCATCACTTGGGCTCTTAGGCTCTATTCTTCACCCGCACTACAGTCAGTCATCTCCTACCCCCTGGAAGCCATACTTAGGGTCCTTTGTTTATAATAGGCAAAACCACAGTAGTACCGTCAAGGAATGAAGGCTCAGCAAAGCTGAGTTACTTGTTGCAGTATATACAACCTTAGGAGTAGTTATGGGCTTGCTGATCTCATTAAAAGATATTCTAATCTTCAGGACCCCTTGAATGCTAGCCCAGCTCACCCAGTGTCCAGCCGAGGCTGCCCTCCACAGGTGTGGTATGTTCATCAATGTCATTCCCATACAGACAGAGGCCTGCCTCCAAGCGCAGGCTATCTCTGGCTGCTAGTCCTGCCAGCTTCACCTCTGGGTTTTTCAGCAGAGCAGTCGCCAAGTGGACTGCCCCTCCTGCTGGCACTGAGATCTGCACAAAGGACCAGAGAGCAGATAGGCGGTTACCCCCTAAGCCTTGAATCCTGTAACCACTTTTACCACTTTTGGTTGTACAGAAGTGAAACACTCCTGTACAAATAGTGATATTCCCCATTTTCCCCTATTCTCATCCCTCTGAGATAGGTAGCCCAGGCTGACCTGTAACTTAGGATTCTCCTGTCTCTACTTCCTGGGTGTTGGGATTATAGGCATGTGCTACCCTCTGCCAGACTTTACAACTGTATTTTTTGTTTTGGGGTTTTGTTTTGGCTTTCTTTTCTTTGAGAGAGGCTCTCACTATGTAGCCTTGCTTAGCCTCACTATGGAAACCCAGCCCATCATGAACTAAAATGTTCCTTCTTCTATCTCCATAAGCACTGGGATTACAGGCATGAGACCCCATAGGGAATAATTACTTCTCAACATACCTCCACACCGTCTTCTCCTGTGTAGCCACAGCGGGTCACGCGACAGCCAGCCACACCAAACACCTCCATCACAGCACTGGTCATGAAGGGCAGTTTCCTCAAATCATCTGTCACACCAGCCTGTAGCACTTGTGCTGCAGCGGGTCCTGAACCCAAAGAATAACCAAAGGTCTTGGACTCAGCACCTCCTGTACTACAGCCCTTACTTAGGAAGCAGAACAGGTCTCCCAAGCAAGCCCAACTCCACAAAAGGGAAAAGGAAGCCCTTGTCCCAACCCATGGACAGGTTTGTAGAGAGGAAAGATACTTAACTTTGGAATTATAGCATACAGCTATCACAGCATCCATACTTTCCTCTCGGGATAGCATCCATGCTAAGCAGCAAATAAAGGCAGGAAGGCAAGTTACTCTCACCTTGCAGAGCTAACAGGGCATTATCTACCACCTCCAGGCCTACATCACTGCCCCTGTTCTGGAACTCCTTGACCTTGTCCTGAAATGAAAACCAGAAGCACATCAGCGTCTGAAACCATTTCTGAGCACCTACGCTGGGTCGGACACTGCGGAACTGTGCAGGCTGATTCCCATCTTACAATTCACATAGCTGCTAAGTGGTGAGGAGGACCTAAGCCCATGTCTGTCACCTCACTTACATCACAGAGGATGATCATTTCAGGGCCAGGGTCAGCTTTTTTTTTTTTTTTTTGGTTTTTCAAGACAGGGCTTCTCTGTGGCTTTAGTGCCTGTCCTGGAACTAGCTCGTGTAGACCAGGCCGGCCTCGAACTCACAGAGATCCGCCTGCCTCTGCCTCCCAAGTGCTGGAATTAAAAGTGCTGGGATTAAAGGCGTGCGCCACCACCTCCCGGCCCAGGGTCAGCTTTATCTCCCCACCTCTGCTAGTTTCTATCCCCAGACCCTGATGCACACAGAGAGTGCCTACTCTTCAGTCTATTGACTGTTCTTTTACTAAGTCATTTTCTGAGCCCCTCTCTGCACTGGGCACTGCTTTATGAACAAAGAATATAAAATGCCTAAAATAAAAAGCAGCTGTAGGGCCAGGTAGGGGCAGCACATGCCTTTAATCCCAGCACTTGAAAAGCAGAGAGAAGCAGGCGGATCTCTTGTGAGTTCACAGCCACAGCCAGCCTGGTCTACAGAGCAAGTTCCAGGACAGCTAGGGCTGTTATACAGAGAAACCCTGTCTGGAAAAACAAAACAAAGCAAAAGAAACTATACCTGCATGAGAGTTAAGTCCTTGTCCCAGCAGCCAGCATTGGACACTACATACAGGTGCCCCTCCGAAGTATTGGTCACAATCAAGTCATCTAAGATGCCTCCAGCTTCATTGGTAAACAGTGACAGTATTCCCTAGCATTAAAGCAGAACATCCTTGTCTCCAGGTCCAGAAAGCCAAAGCCAAGTGTGAGCCAGAAACATTCTTAGAGCCACGCAGCTACCACAAATTCATGAATGCAGTTTTGGGTAAAGGGTGTAAGGTAAGGTTCAAATCTAGGGTCTTTGATCTTCATTTGTTAAGTACATTCCCACCCCTCCCAGAAGAGTGGGACCTTTGTCTCCCTTACTTCTCAATTCTTAGAAACCCATTTCACACTTATTCTGTGACACCTAGGAACTACTACTTCACCCCACCCAACTCCACCCATGTGCCATCCATACTCCAGGAGAAAAGATTCAAAGACCATCTTCGTGATCCCACAGGCTCCCAGCATTCTTCAATGTGTTCAAAACACTGTAAAGCTGGCCTTAGCCTTGCGACTGGATGGCCAAACCTTGAGATTGGTAAGTCACTTGAACCACCTAGGGATCTTGTTAAAACTACAGTTCTGGCTAAGCATGCCCAGAGCTGTGCTTAAGCATATTCCTAACACAGCCCTAGAAAATGGAGAGGCTGCTGGTTTAGGGATCATGCTCTGAATACCACCACAGGTATGAGCAGCATGAGAGGTCAAAGCATACAAACTTTGGTTTCCGGCCTCCCAACCCAATGTAGTAAGGCTGGGTTAGTGCTTCTCCAAAGCTGGTTGGATATCTGGAAATGACCCAATGGCTCCATCAAGATAGCAAGCCCTGCAAAGCTATATCTGACCTATCTTTGTGCCTCCTAAGCTTGAGACAAGGGCTTAACATTGAGAAAAATAAAATGGGCCCACCTGGTTAGGCCTTAGTTCCGCAATGTCTCCAACCACTATACTCTCCATCAGCTTCACTCGGTCACGACCAAATATCTTGGTCTAGGGAAAATATGGAAAGCCTCAGGCCACTGCAGTCTAAGAGGCTACTAGGCAAGAAAGCATCCTTCAGTTGTCCAAAACACACTTCAGCCCAGAAGTGAGTGACTACGGTCTTTGGGTTCTGGAGATGACAGAGGGTCTACCTTCTCGTTTCCCCTTTCCCTCCCAGCCTTCTGGGACCGAGCACCTTACTAAGATACCCAACCAATTTCCAACCAATGTCCAGCACAACAGATGGGAGTAGGTTCAGCTGTACCCAAGGGCAGGGGAGAGCAAATCAGAAGACCTCCTAAGTTAGTCAGTGCCCTTAACACTGTAGTCTAAGATCTCACGCGAAGCGGCAGAGTACAATACTGTAATGGGAAGGCCAGATCCAGCCCCTGGCTCACCTGCAGCATGTGGGACACATCGAAGAGAGAACAGTGCTGGCGTGTATGCAGGTGTGAAACAACGTGACTGTCACGGTATTGAACGGGCAGATTCCACCCTGCAAACGCCACCATTTTTCCTCCATGGGCCAGGTGGAAGTCATAGAGTGGAGTCCTGCGGAGCACATCCTGTGGACAGCCAGACTTAAAGCCACCAGGGCCCAGTCCCATCAGCTTCCTCCCCCACCCTCCAAGACCAGTAAAAAAAACTCCCACCAGTGCCCTTCATCACACCTGTACACAACTGAGTGGGCGGCTCTGGACCAAGGGTTGTGCCTTCAGGCGAAAACCCAGAGGAGCCACCACGCTCACTGTCCGCTGCATTGTCACCCGCAACTGGTGCAGCCCGGCACACCGAGGCCACTACTCTGCCAGGCACTCTGGGAGATGTAGTCCAAACCCCTGCTTGGACAGGTCTTTCTAACTCCCAGGGGGATGGGAAGGGGTGTGGGAAGCCCACAGGGCAGGGATTTAAAACAGAGCGTTGACTCCTGATGGCCTCAGGCTCTTCCTTTAGCTAATAAAAGCAAGTCAGGCAGTTCAGAACAGAATAGGCTGCCTAGAACCAGAATTGGGGGGTTAGAACTCTCTGCCTCCAGAAGGTCAAAGTTCTGCAAACGGCTGGGAAGCCTGAATTACACATTCAGGTCAGATAGCCGTGGGAGGTGGAGCCACTAGAGGGTGAAATCCGCTGGGCAGTCCTAGTACCATTGTGGCCTGGCTTCTTATTATGGTCTCTCTCTCTCTCCCGCTGGGCACACATAAGCAGCAAACAGCAGGCACATATTCCACAAGTATTTATTTGTCTTGCCGCACACTAGTTCCAGGGCTGGATCTTAGGAATACAGCTATGAATTATGCATGATCCCTGCCACCCCAAATCCTCTTTACTCATGCAAACTGAAGACCATTGCTCCCTGAACACAGGACTATGGTGATCACCCTTTCACCAAAAACTGGATGGGTTTAAACAATGATTTTGCAGGTAAAAACACTAACTTCAAGAAGGATGATTGGCAAGAATACAGGGTAGCTACCAAAGGTGGCTAGACCTTCCCCAAAACTGCTGCACACACACATGTTCAATTTTCCAGGTCCAGGACACCTTGCAGCACTGCTTTATAACCGTTCCCAGATCAACGTCAGGGAGACCTGGAGGGAAACTGAATTTTTGCTCAGGAAAGAGCAGCAGCCTTCGTCATTTACAGGTCAGCATCTGTGAAACCTTCCGTCGGCACACACTACCCCCAGGGTTCATCTCTCATCGTCCTGAGCATGACTGACAAGAAGCAACTGGGAGAAGGGTCGTAGATATGCTTCATGCTGAGACGCAGGACAAATAGATTGGAGGTCTCATTGTCAGGCCCCAGCTGTACCAAAAGCACCTGCCCAGAACTGACAGACAACACATATTTCAGCATCCAAATCCCAGCTTTGCCTGCTAGGCTGGTATAGACTGGCAAAAGACAGATTTAAAGAGGGGCATTTTCTTTTTCTTTTCATCCCCCGTGCCACAAAGACAAGGTTTTACTGTGTAGCCCTCACTAGCCTGGGATTGTGTAGACCAGGCTGGCCTTGAACTCACAAGTGCTGAGGTTAAAGGTGTGTGCAGGGCTGTGGGACATTCCTTTTCTGTGGATATAATACAAAAGGAAAAAGGCCACCAGCAGAAGCAGAGGAGTGAGTAGGGGGCATCTCTTCTTCGAGCTTTCCAGGTCCTAAGTGTCAAAACAGCAGTGGCCTTCCTAGGCTACAGGGAACAGGTTTATCTCAATAATAAGGAAAATGGTAGGAGACAGGGTGTGCACATTGGCAGGATAGGCAGGAAGGCAGGAAGAACTCAAGGATTCTAAGTAGAACCTGTAAATGTTGAGAGGAAGAGACTGAATTTGCATGTCAGACAAAGACAGAAAGTACCCTCCACTGGGAATTCATGCTAAAACAGCCAGGTGAATTTCTTTGGCGCAGACAGAACTTGGATGCGCAGGGAACACACTTTAGTCTCTGGTGGCCAAATCAGTCCTGGATGGGTACAGAAGGCCAACGTCTCAAGTAGAAGCTGCCGCTCACGTGTAGGAAAGCAAATTCAGATCATAGCAGCCATCCACCTGCAACACAAGAGACTATCAGTTCTGAGCTATTCAAAGCAAGGAAAGCCAAGCAGAAGAAAGCAATCACTCACATCAAAGCGGCCGATCCTTGTAGAACTGTGACTAGCCCGAATCATCTCTGTCAGTGCCCACATCTGCTGCACCTCGGAGGATACTCTGCTGGGATCTGGGAGACCCTGCTCCAGAGGGAAGGAAGAGTGGCTATGAATCTCTCCCCAGCAGTGCTCTTAGAGATGTAAAACTTGGGGCACTCCAGCTGAAGCTGGTAGCATTCCCAGGTAACTTGCAGAATGTGTGCCTAGGGCTCGATGTTCACTCAGGAAGCAATCCATGCCTGCCTAGAAGCAGACACAACTCAAATCCCACAAAACACCCAGGAAGACATTGAACCATGGGCCCTGTGTCCAGTCTCAAATTTTTGTGGTGTTGGGAATCAAACCCAGGACGTTATGCATGCTCAGTAAGTATTCTACATCCCCAGCTGGCCTCAGGATAGCCAGAGGCCCACATGTTCATACTCTGGACATCATGTACATGTGGGTAACACCCAGGGTTAGAGCTTACCTCAAGGCGGGGAGCAGGCTGCTCATTGGACACTGGGTGGGAAAGCCACTTGGGGAAAGTCAAGGAGGGGCTCTGCAAAGCAAAAGTATACTGTTCTAAGTGGAGCCAAATCTGAGAGCTCTGGCACCTGAGAGCAAAGAAAAGGCCCCTTGAGCCTGAGACACTGGGAAATTCCTGTTCAGGACCATGTATGATCAAAGGGTCACTCGGATTACTGTTCTACAGAAGGAGAACCCAGGAACATAAGCAGCAAAAGTCCATCCCAGCATCTAAAAGTAGTAGGTGGTCTCGAGGGTCAGGGGATGCCGAGGCAGAAACTCACCTTTGACTTTCTGCATTCGTATTCCTCCAACATTCATGAAGGCTTCCCTCTGTAGTTCTCCATCCTTGCCCACCACCCACCCCAGTGCCCCATCTCTCCTAGCCATTTAGAAGCTTCTTAGGTCCAGGGCTAGCCAGTAGGTTTCATACAGTCAGCTACCTTTGGTCCCTGTTGGTAGATTTGCAATTCCTCCACTGTGAAAGACAGCCATAGTGGTGACGGCTGCCGCAGAATCAGACGCAGCTCCAGTACTCTGGTCATGTCACACAGCATCTGACACAAAAGGATACACTGAGCAGGGCATGGAGGTGTGTGCCTTCCTCTCAGCACTTGGGAGGCAGAGGCAGGCAGTCCCTTTTTCTGAGTTCAAGGCCAGCCTGGTCTATAAAACAACTTACAGGAGAACCAGGGCTACACAGAGAAACTGTCTCAAATAAAACAAAAAACAATTTAAAAAGATAAATAGCTGGATGGTGGTGGCACACCCCTTTAATTCCGGCACTCAGGAGGCAGAGACAGGTGGATCTCTGTGAGTTTCAGGCCAGCCTGGTCTACAGAGACAGTTCAAGGACAGCCAGGGCAATAAGAGAAACCTTGGCTAGAAAAATCAATAGATAGATAGATAGAAAGATAGAAAGATTTATAGATAAATAGACAGATGATAGATAGATAAATAGGTAGGTAGATAGATAGATAGATAAAATTAAATAAAAAAAAGATCCACTGAAGATTCAGCTCCTTTACCAGGAACTCCCCAACCAACAGTAAGCCAAATGCTTCCCCAAACCTCAGGGAAAGACAGAGCAGTGGTCCCTCCCATGTACCCATGTGAAAGCCACAGTCCAGCCCACTTTTGCCCCACTCTTCCCTTCTGCTATTTTGCCCAATCCCTAGGCAGGAAGTCCTCATCTGGGATTTCCTGGCCATACTGAGGCCCAGCTGACCTGGTGTTTGAACAGTGATACATACTCCTGGGCTCCCTCCTCACTGTGTGGGTCAGGCATCAAACAGTAGTCCCGCAGGCAAGTTACCCACTTGGATGGTGTGTGCAGTGGGGTCTGTTGACGAACACGGATGCTCAAGAAAGCTGTGTAGTAATTCTTAAACGAGATCTCCTGCAACTAGAATACACCCAACCCACCATGAGAAATGGGGTCCCGTGCATGGTGACGTAATCTTTCTTTTGGAATGTACACTTTTGCTAAGCAAGCCAACAATTCCTGGAGCCCAGACATAATTTTGCTTTCCTAAAAATGCTTGCAGTCCAGTAAGTCATGCAAACAAACCATGCCAACATATCTAAGACGGTCCCTGAAGAAAGCAGAAAATGGACACATGAAGCCTGAAAGAACGAGATTACGGCCGGGAGGAGGTGGCACACGCCTTTAATCCCAGCACTCAGGAGGCAGAGGCAGACGGATCTCTGTGAGTTCAAGGCCAGCCTGGTCTACTAGAGCTAGTTCCAGGACAGGCTCAAAAGCTACAGAGAAACCCTGTCTGGGGGGAGGGGAGAGAAAGCCCTGGGCTGATGACAAAGCTCAGCGGTTCAGTGCTTGCCTTGTCTAGCATGTTTGAAGCTCTATGCTAGATGCTCAGTGATGGACAACTTGGATGTGTGATGCACACCTGGAATCCCAGGGCTTGGGTGGCAGAGGCAGGAGGATCAAAAGTTCACGGTAAGCCTCAGCAATTCTTAACCATTCTGGGACTCATGAGACCTACCCACCACCCAAAAAGCAGCATATTTGAAAAAGTACCAAAGTGAGAGACCCTAAGAATCTAGTATGAAAAAGAACTGTAGTTCAACCTGGTGATAGCAGAGGTTCTCTCCCTCTGTGGAGCTCTGTCTCTGTCTCTTAACTAAGAAGGAATGATCAGACTAAGACCAGAATAAGAAGCGTAGGAAGGCTTGCTAGGTGCAGTGCAGTGGCCTAGGAGAGGCAATGGGCTGGGCAGACCTACAGTATCAACTACCACAGTAGTAGTTATCACCTCTGGAAGCTCATCAGAATCAGCCATGGAATTAAAAACAAAAACATATCAGGTGCTCAGAGGTGCTCTTGCAGAGAGTCAGGTTTGGTTCCCAAAACCTGCCTGGCTCCTTACAGTTCATAACTCCAGTTCCAGGGGATTCAGAACCCTCTTCTGGCCTCCACCAGTACCAGGTATGTCAGTACCAGGTAAGCACAAAGTATATACGCATACATGTAGACAAAACGCCCATACACATAAAATTAAAATAAACATTTAAAAAAATATATAGATGTCTAAGAGCCGCCTCAAACACACTGACTCAGATATTCCAGGTTTCCCAGCCAGTGGTAAGCAACCTCGTGGAAGATAACCACATATTGTAACACAAAGCATGTAAGGCCAAGAGAGTGGGTGAGGCACCGTCACAGGGTGGCTCAAAATGCTATGCCATTAGAGGTAAGCTTTGTCCCGTGTTGAGGTCATGCAGTGCCCTGTCACAGTCAGCTGAGATGGCAGTGCAACTGGGGACTAGAAACAAGTCACTAGGAGGACCTAGATGAAGGATGAGCTGCACCTGACCTGTGGCAGGAGCCATTGGAATGGGGAAGTTGACATCATTATTTAAGGATCCCAGCCAAAACCAAAATACCCTCCCACTTGTACTAAGGTTCATAGTTGTATTTCCAGTGGTGTCCTGGAAATGTGGAAGAGATGCTGAAAAGAACAGGACAGTAAATTCTAGTCTCATAAAGACTGTAATGCTACTAAATAGGGCCAATTGGTAAAAGCAACGGGGAACTGCAGAGGTTGTGAACAAGTAAATGCCTTCCCCGCCCAGACGCCTTGGTCGCGCCTACTGGGGGTCGCTCACCTCGAAAGGCGCGACGTTGGGAAAGGTGATATCGACGACCAGCACGCCAGGCCGACCTTGGGAGGTCCTCATGTCACCCACTTGCAGGGCTACGGTGCTTTTCACATGACAGGGCACCAACACACGAGACATGATGCCGGCACCAGCGATCAAGCAAAAACGCCGCTAACAGCCTCCAACTACAAGCCTTTACAGGCTTCGCCTAGCGAAACAAAAGAACTACAACTCCCAGACGACCTAGCGCATGCACAGGCCAGCCAATCACCGACGCTCAGGGCGGGTCGAGAGTAGGAAGTGCCTGCGGAAGTTCTGCGTCAACCAATCACCACGCGTCTGAGAGCAGCTCCTCGGCCGCCCCCGGCAACCGTCGAGCTATTCTTTATCCAAAGGATCCAGAATGCTTTGGGCCCCCTTAAACCTTTCTTAGATTCTGCTACTTTGTTAGGGCGGTAGTCGGTTAAGATGTGTAAGGCCTCGAACACAAATGACATTAATCGCAAAAACAGGCAATACATTTTTAAAAAGAACTCACAGCTCAATTGGTAGTGTTAACCTAACATATGGAAAGCCCTGGGTTGATCCCCCAGTACCCCATAAAACTAGGAATGCAGTCTCAGGCCTGTAATCCCAGCTCTTCTGGAGTCTGAGGAAGAAGGATAAGAAGTTTAAACTACTCGCCGGGCGGTGGAGGCGTATGCTTTTAAGAGGCAGAACCAGGTGGGAGGCCGGGATCCACAGAGAAACCTTGTCTGGGGACGGGGCGGGGGGAGGGGGGGGAGGAAGAGAAGAGGGAAAGAAGAGAAAGAGAGAAAGGGAGGAAGGAAGGAAGGAAGGAGAAAGAAAGGAGAAAGAGCCAGGCGGTGGATGTGCACACCGTTAATCCTAGCACTCGGGAGGCAGAGGCAGGTGGATCGGGCTCCAAAGCAAACAGAGAAACCCTGTCTCAAAAGCAAAGCAAAACAAAACAAAACAAAAAGAACATTGCAAGGGCCAGAGAGACGGTTTAGGGGTTAAAAACACTGGCTCCGCTTCCAAAGGACCTGGGTTCTGTTCCTACACCAACATGAAAAAATGAAAGTGGTCTGTAATTTTGGTTCCAATGCCCTCTCCTGGCTGCCGACGGCACTTAAGACATGGATACACATATAACATGCAGACAAAACACCAATACACACAAAGTAAAAATAAATGAATCTTTAAAATAAAAAAAAAAAAGACTTGCCGGGCGGTGGTGGTGCACGCCTGTAATCCCAGCATTTGGGAGGCAGAGTCAGGTGGATCTCTGTGAGTTCTAGACCAGCCTGGTCTTTAAAAGCTAGTTCCAGCTAGTAACACAGAGAAACCCTGTCGCGAAAAACCAAAATAATAATAATAATTAATTAGTTAATTAATTAAAAATTAAAAAAAAGATTTGAGGCAGAAGCAGGCGATCTTTGTGAGTTTGAGGCCAGCCTGGTCTACCGAGTGAGTTCCAGTACAGGCTCCAAAGCTACAGAGAAACCCTGTCTGGGAGTGGGGGAGTAGTGGAGGGCCCACCTTTAATTCCGGTACTAGGAAGGTGAAGGTAGGCAGATCTCTGAGTTCCAGGACAACCAGGGCTACTCAGAGAAATCTTGTAACCCTGTCCCAAAATAAAATAAAAGCAAAAAAAAAGGGGGGTATCTTTTTAAAAAATACATAAACCCAGTGGTAGTGACAAACGCGTTTAATCCCAACACTCGGGAGGCAGAGGCAGGCAGATCTCCTGAGTTTGAGGCTAGTCTGGTCAACAGAGGAAGTCATTGGTTAGGGCTACACAGAGAAACTCTGTCTCAAAAAGTAACAAAGACGATGCAAAAGAATAAAAACAAAAGACAATAGATAAAATAATCGGTTTACATAAGGATACATCTAAAGTATAAATCTGAGGATTGTATTGAAGCAATGGTTCAAGAGTAGAGAGCACTGTTTTTCCAGAGCAGAAATTCTTAATCAGGTTGTGATCTCTTTGGGCTTGAATGACCCTTTCATAGTGGTTGCCTAAGACCATCAGAAAACACAAATATTTACATTATGATTTTTTTTCGAGACAGAGTTTCTTTATAGCTTTGGAGCCGGTCCTGGAACTTGCTCTGTAGAACAGGCTGTTCTCTAACTCACAGAGATCCACCTGTCTCTATCTCTAGAGTGCTGGGATTAAAGGTATGCCCCCACCACAGCCTAGCTGAATTATGATTCATAACAGTAGCAAAATTATAGTTATGAAGTAGCAATTAAAAATTATTTTATGGTCTGGGTGGTGGTGGTGCACGCCTTTAATTCCAGCACTTGGGAGGCAGAGGCAGGCAGCTCTCTGTGATTTTGAGGCTAGCCTGATCTACAAGAGCTAGTTCCAGGACAGGCTCCAAAACTACAGAGAAACCCTGTCTCTAAAAACCAAAAGAAAAACAAAACAGGACTGGAAAGATGGCTCACTAGAGGTCCTGAGTTCAATTTCCAGCAACCACATGGTGGCTCACAACCATCTGTAATGAGATCTGGTGCCCTCTCCTGGCAGAACACTGTATACTTAATAAATAAAATCTATTTTAAAAAGGGGCAACATCATTTAAAAAAAAGCAAAACAAAATAATAACATTTTATGGTTGGTTATTACCACAATATGTGGAACTGTATTAAAGGGTTGCAGCTTTAGGACAACTGAAAACCACTGCTCCAGAGGATCTGGATTCAACCCACAGTATTCACATGGTGGTTCACAATTGTAATTCCAGTCCCAGGGCATATGATACTTTCTCCTGGCTCCTGAACAATTATTTTTTAAAAATACATACCAGATCAGGTACAATGGTGGAAACCTTTAATCCCAGTGCCAAAGTGTCAGAAGTAGAAGCAGGGTAAATTGCTAGGAGCATGAAATTTGAAGCCAACCTGATCTACAAAGAGCCCTGTGTCAAAGGGGGAAAAAAAGACAAGACATAAGGTGTGCTGAGCAGTGGTGGCGCACACCTTTAATCCCAGCACTGGGGAGACAGAGACAGGCAGATCTGTGAGTTTGAAGCCAGCCTGGTCTAAAGAGAGAGAGTTCCAGGACTGGCTCCAAAGATACAGAGAAAAATCCCATTTCAAAAAACCAAAATCAACCAAACAAACAAATCAAAAAAGAAATAAAGTGCGTGGCGATTTACTCCTGTAATCCCAGCTAAATTATAAAAAATAATTTAAAAAGCCAGGCATGGTGATCCTTTACTTAACCTAGCAATTGGGAGGTGGAAGCAGAATCAGAAAGATCAGAGGTTCAAGGCTAATGTCAGTTGTGTAGTTTCAGGCTAGCCTGAGCTAAATGAGTGCCTAGTTTAAAAAGAAAAAAAAACCTGCCAATAAATAGGTTGGTTGGGGAACAGACAAATAATTGGTTTGGGATTTGTTTGTTTGTTTTTGAGACAGGATCTCACTATGGAAGTGGGAGAGGCTGGCCTTGAATTTACAGATCTACCCGCCTCTGCCTCCTGAATGATGGGATTAAAAGTGTGCCTCACCATGCCAATCTACCAAGCTTTCTTTTTATTTTATATATTGAGACAATTGGGAGCTTTTAAGATACTGAGGTATAGGGCTGGAGAGATGGCTCAGAGGTTAAGAGCATTACCTGCTCTTCCAAAGGTCCTGAGTTCAATTCCCAGCAACCACATGGTGGCTCACAACCATCTGTAATGGGTTCTGGTGCCCTCTTCTGGCCTGCAGGCATACACACAGACACAATATTGTATACATAATAAATAAATAAATAATTTTTTTTTAAAAAAAGATACTGAGGTATATAAATCAGGAGTTTGAGGCCATGCAGCAGGAGAGATGGCTTAGTAGTTAAAAGTCCTTGCAGTTTTCCCAGAGGACTGATCACAGCTGCCTATAACTACAGCGCCCTCATCTGGCCTCTAATGGAAATTTACACTTGTGTGCACATGTACCTACACAGACACACATGCATAATATAATTTAAAATTAAGTCAGGGGCTAGGCAGCAGTGGCACATGTCTTTAATCCCAGCACACTGGAGGCAGAGGCAGGTGGGTCTCTGTGAGTTTGAGGCCTGCCTGGTCTCAATAGAGTGAGTTCCAAGACAGCTGGAGCTATGTAATGAGACTTGCCTCGAGAAAAAAAATTGTTAAACAATAACTGACTTTAAAAAACAAAGATTTATTTATTTATTGTGTATACAGTATTCTGTCTGCACTTATGCCTACAAACCAGAAGAGGGCATCAGATCTCATTACAGATGATTGTCAGCCATCATGACAATACTGCTGGGTATTGAACTCAGGACCTCTGGAAGAGCAACCACTGCTCTTAATCTCTGAGACATCTCTCTAGCCCCTCACTTTTACGTCAAGGTGAAATTTTTGTCACCATAAACCTATAATCTCAGCAGTTAGGATGTGAAGGCAGTAGGATCAGGAATTCAAGCAAATTCTAGGCTGCCTCAGCTGTCTAAAACCCTGTCTTACGGTTCAGTGAGTAAGAGCACTTGCTCTGAAAGCTTGAAGACCTGAATTCGAATCCCCAAAATACATGTTTAAAAACAAACAAACCAACCTGAGGGCTGCTCTTTCAAAGGTCCTGAGTTCAATTCCCAGCAACCACATGGTGGCTCACAATCCTCTGTAATGAGATCTGGTGCCCTCTTCTGGCCTGCCAGCATACATGCAGACAGAACACTGTAAACAAAATAGATAAATTAAAAAAAATTAAGAAACACAAAAACCTGAGCATGACTACGCAAACCAGTAACCCTAGCATTTGGGAGGGTGGAGACAAGTGGATTTTGAGAGTTCAGTGGTCAGCCAGCCTAGCCAAAACAGAGAGCTTCTGGTTCAGTGACGACTGTATTTTTTTGTTTTTTTGTTTGTTTTGTTTTGTTTTTCAAGACAGGGTTTCGCTGTAGTTTTAGAGTCTGTCCTGGAACTAGCTCTTGTAGATCAGGCTAGCCTTGAACTCACAGAGATCCGCCTGCCTCTACCTCCCAAGTGCTGGGATTAAAGGCGTGCGCCACCACTGCCTGACCAGTGACGACTGTATTAAAGGAACAAAGGTTCCAGGCATGGAAGAGGATACCCAAGTCCTCTTCTGACCTCCAAATGTTGGAGCACAGGCACGTGCATACACACACACACGTGCATCATACCAAACACAACAGATATACATACACAAAAAATGTTAAAAATTAAAGTTTAATTGTTTATTTTTTTTAA